AATATAAGTTATTCCAAGAGCTAAACTGGAAGAACTTTAAAGAGCCTAAATCTGCTCCCACTTATTCTAGTACAAATCAGAAACAATTCCATTGAAATCAATGAAGTTACCCAAATAAAATTGGCCCCTACCATTACAAACAGCCAGGTAAATCCAGTTTTTGGTTCAAGGGTATTGGCTGGGTGAGCAAATGAAAGCTACCAGAGTATTTTATACTGATGGAGATCACTAGTTCCTGGCCAAATTCCAATGCATGCAGGGAGATTGTCCCTGTGTTCATGACCAAGTTAGGTATCTTCTACTCTTGTCCTGATGTGTCATGAAGCAATCATGGATTTTGGAAAAAAAAACAAATATTATTTTTAGAAATACTGAGAATAAGCTGGACTAAATCAGGATTTCAAGAAAACTGGATTCAGGTGTGTCTTTAGTTACATTGGTAGTAGTTTGAATTACATCTGCAGGCTTTAGGAGACATAACTGCAGACTGACACCAGTATTAACAGAAACAGACTCTCCTCTTAGACAAAACCTTGTATTTTTGCTCCATTTTGCAAAACATCTTTTCGGCCCTTCACAGTAGAAATTACTCTAAATGAAAATTCTTCTTAAGATGGATTCATTCAGTGAGGGAGTTTCCCCTCTTCTCCCATGGCAGGGGGAATGCAGCAATTAATGCCAGCTGCTGACTTCATCTCACAAGTAAAAAGCAAAGAAGGTGAGAGCTGGCAATTTTGGAGCAGGTGTCTATTATGTGTGGAAATAAATGATATATGCAGAGTTAATCCACTAAGTGCTCTGTTGCACCACATCATGACAGTCACCCTGTTCACACTGTCCTCATTAATGCTGGTGGGAAGCCAGGCGCTGGGACCAGGGTTTTGCCTGTGTTAGAATATTTTAAAGAAATAAAATTTTCCAGCTGCAGAGATTGATTCTGCCACATGAGAGAAGACAATTATTTAGCATTTACAGGACCAAATTCAAAGCCTATTGGAGACAAGAGACACCTAATCACCTCACGGTGACAGTGGGGTTGGATACAACCCTGCTGGTTTTTTAAGTATGGTACCTAACCTGGAATAAGGCAATGAAATTGGATGCTCAGGTTTCTAAGGATAGGAATGACGGATGGGAAAGTAAAGCCCAAAATTTTCAAAAAGCAGCCATCAGACTTGGGCACCTCATTTTCCATCTGCCCAATTTCAAAAATGCAAGAGGTGGAAGCTGCAAAAGGTGGAATTCCTGTAGTCCTTTGCAAAAAGTTGGCATGAGCAATAGCCTTGTCACATCTCTGAAAAAGCAGGCCCAAACAGTGTCAGGTTGGTCCCACAAAATTAAAGACTGTTGAAATTTTATTTCATTTTAGTCTTAGAAATCTGTGTGACAGGTTGCTGTTGGCACCAGGACTCGGGAATGCCTCACTATCTGCAGCATGCCCAAAGCAGTGAGTGACTCCACACTGCAGAGAACTCAAAGTGTGTTCTGTTCAGATCGATTTCCAAAGACTGTTTCGCATAAAAAAAAAAAAAAGGACCTGGCAACCTGGACTATGCTCCAGCTCTTCCCACTCCTGGATGATGCCCCTCAGATCATACTGATTCATGCTCTTCTTTGCATATCTATTTCTGCCCTATGACCATCAGGGCTGCAGCTGCAAATAGGGGCGCAGGGAAGGCGGGGGAAAAAAAGTTGTGAAAGCTTTTAACCAAGAAAAGGGGTGCCCTTTGCCAGCCTCTGTCAAAGAGCTCAGGATCCAAGGTTTGGGTTTGTGGTAGGATGCAGAGCACAGCCCATTCCTGCCCCTTGCTCCTGGCCAGCCCAAGTTCATGGCTTCCTGGCTGCCAGCACCTCCCTGCTTCCTGGGGCTGCAAGTCCAAAATCCCATGCGGAGACACCCTGCTCTCCTCCTGGGCTAGCACAGGAGTCTCAGTGTCCGATGCAATTCCTGGCTTCAGCCCCAGAAACCAAACACTTTCAATTATGAATGAAACCAAACTGGACCCAGCCTCCAGGGCCTTGCATTTCAATGGACAAGATTTCTTCATACAGCCCATTTTAAAAGTGCAGCCTGGTCTTACTCATAATGATGGTGTCATATTAGATCTGATGTGCCTTCAGACTGAAGAGGTGTGTATTTGCCACTGATTCAAGGGAAATTTATTGAACTCACCAGTAGCATGGTTGATGCAGGGAATGACAGGAGAGAAGGTGCTAAGAGATGGAGCGGGAGCAGCAAGTGGTGGCTTTGACAATAAACGTGCAGTTCAAAGTGGAGAAAGCTCTGAAATTTAAAAAAAAAAATTGGTCTGGAGGACAAAGTTCTGTGCAGCAGGTAATTTACAACAGCCACAGCAAATTGCTCCTAGAGGTCTCCAGAAACAAAGCCATTTATCCCCAGTGCCTGGCTTTGGGGTGGAGTGGGCAAAGCTACAGCTGAATGTGAGTTACAACTAGAACCCATTTTTATTTGCATGGACTTGCTTCTTCAACAATTTCCAGGTCTCAGAGTCATATCTAACACTAGCTAAGTTAACAGAGATCCTTCTGTCAGCTTCAGCTGGCATTTACTCAGGTCTCCAGGAGGAAAAATTTATCTGTAAAGATCAATGAAATCAGTATCTGGATATATGTGCAGATGATGAGAATTTCTATGAATATTTGTCAAAAACTTTGTGTCTTGTTAGGAAAAAATATGCATTTTACTCAGAACCCCCTCTCCTTGTTGCAAGCTAATTAAAAAGAAAAAAAGTCATCAAACTTAACCTTTTTTTTCCTGGAAGTGCTTTCCACCTTATTTTTTTTGCTTCTTGTAACTGATCAAGGAGTGACCTAGAGAAGAAGTTACATTCTTACACAGCAGGTGAACCAGGAACTTGCTGTAAATGACCTGCAGGTATGCGGAACAGCGTGGTTCCTGCGCCCGCAGCCCCTGCACTGCTGCAGACAGGGAGAAGCAGATGCTTACATGTAGAGACGACAATAAAACTAGAATGTAACATTTTTAGGATCACAGCTGAGCTCTCAGACGAGGCTTTTCTGCAATGACTAATACGACTACAGTCTAAAGAGACAGTTTGCTGTCTGCAGCCACATTCAGTCCCGAAAGTAAGCAACTTTCTCCAGATGTTACACACTGAAGAAAAAAAAAAAAAAAAAGAAAATCACTTCCAGTTTTCAATTTTTTTATTTATTTAAACTGTACACAAATGTAAAATACTTCCACAGCAAATCTAAGTGAAAATTGTTTGGTTTAAATTATTATGGAACAGAACCTAAAAGGAACTTTATTAAATAAACATAAAAATTGGATTTAAAGAATGCACATATTGTAATGTATTCTACAATAGTATTTTTTTTTCACTCTACATTCCATGTGCGTATGGTATAGAAAAGACACTGAATAGAACAAACAGAATCCATTTTGTACCCTGAAACAATTGGTAGGCCTTGTGAGGGATTGCTCAGTATGACTACATGATATATGATGGCTTTGCCATCTCATAAAAATTATAACTAATATGTTGGCCTCTTTGGTTCCAAAATTTATGTATAATACATTTAACTGTATTCATTTTTTGCTGCTATAAAAATAACATTTTTTTCAAATGGCAGTTTTTTGACTAATCATGCAACTAAATCAGTGCAAACATTAAAAGCAATCATTCGCTTTAAAAAAGAAGCAAAAGATTTAATTTCAAGTATAAAAAAATATAAAAAAGTCATATCATAAGTCCAGTTTTGTCTAGTATGGGTCAACACTTTAAATTGCATAGCTCATGCGGCACCTGTTTACCTAGATAGTGAGCAAAGATAAGTGCACTATCAAGTACCACTTTTCAAGGCATTGAAATTTGCAAGTGCTATTATACGTGCATTCAAGCAGTTTGCAAGTGCTATGCTGTATCATTATTTTCCGATCTTTATGGCCATCCTTGACACCTCCTGGTAAGGAAATTGAAAGCTCTCTTCTCCTTTCCAAGACTTGTTAAAATGTTCCTCGCCCGTTATTAAACGCACTGCATTTTTCAGAAGGTCTCCACTCCGTTACTCTCACCACTCCTCGTTAGGGTTCATTGGTTTAGCCGTGGTGGCGGTGGCTTGTTTGCTCCCCCCCACCTGATGTGTCCTTGCCGAGTCCCCCGTTGAAGAACACGGATTGCAACTCCAACGTTTTGTTCTCTGAACAGTGAGAGATGCCAATGGTCAACACGGTCCAGCTACAGTACTGGATGCCCTGTTCCAAGACACGGCGGGTGTAGCCATCCACAGGTTGCTAGCGGACAGTTAAAGCATCGGATCACACCAGCCCAGCTCGTGACTTCGCCACGCTCAGATGTCAGAAATACAGCAGCTGCTCACACTTCTGTCCCCTTTTCTCTCTCTCTGATGGCACCACGCGATTCCTTACTGGAAGTGCTGTAGGAAGATGCGGGTATCTGTGATGTTTACTTTTAGATAACTTTAAATTAAGAGGCAGTGAGCACCTCCCACAGCAGGTGTTCTACAGCTTCCTGTTAGACCTAAGAGGTGACGGTCGACATTTTTTTCTTTTTTTTTCATTTTCTAAGTTGGGTCATTTTGACACCTGCGTGCAAGAATACCTCGTGCTCTCGCAGTCTGTGCTTTCGCCTGAGCAACGGGAGCTCATTTCGGTCTGGCTGCGCCGGCAGGCGGGGAAACAGCTGCTCAGCCGTCCACTCGTACTGGCAGGCATTTAGGTCCGTCGTCACTGGTCACTGACTTTCTGTGCTCGAGTCCCTCTTCCGAGCTGCCTCGTGTGTGTCTGTGTCTGTGTCTCTGTGTGTGTGTATGAGCGCGTGTTTGTGTGCATGCCCACATTTCATGTGTGTGTGTATGTGTGTGTCTTTAAGATATTTCATAGCATTAACTTATAAGTGGTAGAATATATAAGTGTCCAAGATCCACAAACTGCCACTGTCCTGACACCAAAGTGAAATGGTTCTTTTTTTTTCTCTTTTTTTTCCTCTTTTTTTTTTTTTTTTTTTTTTGTCAAACTTTTCCACAGTGACTTTCCAACACTGATGCCTGGATACACAGTGAAACTTCCTCCAACACCATCTCGTATGGGAATGTTTCTCTCTCTCTCTCACCCTCTCTCTCTCTCCCCCCCCCAAAACACACCTTAAATCAAGCACAACCACATTCTTCCACAATCATATTGGGAACGTCCCTTTTCACAATGTTGTATTCATCATCAAAGTACAGCATTGACATTGTGCTAAGTTTGGTTGGAATGCAACAGGAGTTCACGGTGCCCGGGTTCAGCCCCCGCATTCGGTACTGATTCACGACGGCGGTGTGAAAGGAGGAAGCCGACCCCGGGACGCCGGCCAAGTAGGCCGGGCAGCTCCCTTCACAGTAATTCCCATAGTAACCTGATGGTGCTATGATCCAGTCATTCCACCCAATGAGTCTAAAGTCAATGTAAAACTGTTGCCTGCAACATAGATTGGTCCTGCCATCGCACTCCAGGCCTCTTTTCCGGATCCTGTGTTTGTTATCGGCGAGGCGGGCTTGCACCACTAAAAAAGGCCGGTGGGATTCCTCCCCGGGGTCCACATAAATTGGCAGCACTGAATACTCTTCACAGCCCTCACATTGAACATCCAAGTTCAGTCTCCTTTCTCCTCTCTCAAACAGAGCCTGGATCGCCTCTGTCATGGGAAAAGTGTGCCAACCACTTCTTTTGAGATCAACTTTCTTTTCAACCACATTCCACTTGTTGCTAGTGTCCGGGTCTTGGAAATAGACTTTGACTCTTACTTTTCGCCTGCTGCCTTTCTCTAAGACATATGGAAGCAGCTTCAAGTAAAGCCACAGGCTGGCTTGAACGACAAACAAGTTCTGGTTCCCTTCATTCGAGATGAAGAAATAAAGGCGGACTCTAGATGAGGCCAGATCGTCTGCAAGATAAGGAGAGATCAGCAAGATTAAGTCAAAAAGGAAACGTTAGCTCTTGTGCCTTTCTGGATGCAGGGACAACGCTCGAGCACAGCAAACCAAGGGAGCGGCAACGGGGCTGCACTGGCCAGAAGGCACGAATGGAATCACATATCCCCAATTTGCAATCAAAATGAATTGAAAAGGGACTTCCCACAGCAACGTCCATCATCGGGCTGTAGTTGGATATGTCAGATCCACAGATACCAGTAAGAGCTCTTCTCCAGAATAAGGTTGTGGGGTTTTTTTTTCTAGTCATCCAGCTTTAAAGATGCTACAGCAGCACCTTAAAAAGACCAGTACTTGGACTCTGCTAGCTCATCGGTTTAAGAAGTTTTAACCTTCAGCTACCTGCCAGTTCTCACAGGGAGATCCCTTTCAATAACCACTGAAACGCCAATGCCTAACCAATGACTTTGTTTCGATTTTCACCTCTTCTGCTTGATATTTAACAGAGAAGATTCATGAGGCCGAGGGAAAAACATTTCCGTAATGTGCCTGCCCGTCCAACTGATCAAGCTAACCCCCGCTTAGCCTGGTGGAATATCTGCTATTATTAATCATTTTGATCTCTGCCTTTTCCCCTGAAACTATACCCTCCCATGCAAGGCGAGGCAATGAAGCGGTCGCTCGCGCTGTAACGCCGCTACTGACTGTTCTCAATGCGCTTTTCAATAACACCAGAATTAAAGGAGCGAAATTGTCACGGAAAACCAAATGTCACCAACTGTCTGACATAACCCCTTATTTGTAAACAAAAAGAGCCTGCTGCATGAAATGTTTCAGAAATACCAGCGGCTCTCCTGAAATTTTGTACTTTAAGTCCTAACTAAATTTGGCGTAGCTGATAAATGTGCAAGCTGGCCTTTATGACAGAGACTGTAATTCTGGTCCTTGAATCAAAGCCTCCCAATCACTATTTAAAATAATTGCTGGAAAGGCATTTTTCTCATCTGCCTTTATCTATTTCGCTTCTTTCTGTACCAAGCCAAATGTAGATTTTTCTTCCTTTCCTTTCCCTGAGAATCTTCCTTATTTTCGACAGTCTCTGGACGGGATTTTTCACTTAAACCCGCGACTTCATTTGTAACCCTAGATGCTTTTCAAATGTGCATCCAGGGCCCATTTGGTACCTTGTAATATTTCAGTGACAAAAAATTTCACTCTGGCTATGTTTTACGTAAAGTCGATTTTGGAAGTGTTACAAAAGCCAGCAATTGATTGAATACCAAATGGAAGTACAAGCTCACCCCAGATCTCCCAACAACAGCCTGTTAAAAAATAATAAACCTAAAAATGTACGCTAAGGAAGCCTTTCGCGTGTTAGTAAATACACAACTTCTTTATAAACTGTGGTGACAGTGACAGGAAAAGAACAGTACAGTGTTGCTGCACCAATCTACATCACTTGTATTGTATGAGATTGTGTGTGCCCATAAATTTTGTATGTGAATATAACAAGCATATGTATAATGCAACAGATCTCACAGCTACTGTAAATGTATATGCCTTCGGTAAGTGGGAGGGTAGATAAAGAAGATGAGTGGGCAGTGTACAGGATAGAAGGAGATTTATTTTGTGGACAAACGATATATAGATGCCACAGCAAGATAGAGAACGAGAAAAATGAACCGAGCAACGGAGCGATGAAGGAAAGGAGAGATGGGCAGATAGACAGGAGCGAGGTAATTTGCAGAGAGATGGTGTTGTAGCCAGATGTGCAAAGTTCACAGGCACAGCGGTTGCCTGGATAAACTGCTGGAAAGCTACGCTGAAGGCGTTCAGTGATGCATAACTGGACAGGACTGAGATGGCTGGTACCGTGGGGATGGATGGCACAGTTAGCAAACAGACTGATGGACAGAGAGGTGACAGGCACGCTTGGCAGGAGGCTGTAGTGCAGTGGACAAACAGACAAGGCCAACACCACGAACGAAAGATAAATAAATGGGAAACGAACAGAAAGGGAAGCCGGGCGAATGCAAGCCTCGACAGATGCATGCAGTGAACCAGATGAATGTGCAGTGCAGGCAGACGAGGCGAGGGATGCGAGAGATGGAGCGGGACAGGCGGAAGAGGGGCAGTGGGACGCAAAGGGACGGAGGCGAGCCACGGTGCGGCCGGAAGG